CTTGTACATAAAATAATGTTAATTAAGTGATGAACACTAGAAGGAAGCTACACCAGCGGTGAAGTAATGACTTGCAACCAGTGCTTCAGGCAGCACAAGTTGCAGTGGTGGTGGTGTAGCAGTGGCACTCAGAGTGAGGCGAGTGCAGCACACACCACCATCAACTCCGGCTAACATATACTCACTCTGCCTGCCTGCCTGTTTCTCTCCTACTCCTGAAATGACCAAATTTAATGGTCATTTGTAATATTTAGCATTAACTTACTTATTACAATACATTTACGAGTACAACATGTGAAATATTATCACTCTCTAAGTGGTAAGTAGGTTTCTTAACTATCAAACAGTAAAAATGGAAACAAGATATATTCAATATTACTACAAACAACTATAGTCTCATTATCATAATACAAATATTAACTCAAAAATTCATTAATGAAATACATGTACTCAAAAACACCATCCATCTATTGCAAGTTTTAACTATACAAAGCAGACACAATTAACTCAAGAGATATATTATTTACATACTTGTGGAGTGATACTTCAATAAAACTTGAGTACTTTATCTATAGTGAAGAGACTGTGGTTAAGCTAAAATTATATTTAATAAGTGTGTGCCACTGTACCACACACTCAACCATGTACAGCCTCTCCTCACGTAGCGAAGTACTCGTTTAATGATGACTCGGACTTACGACAGGCTCTTTGGCCAGTATTTGTACCTAAATACAGTGGTACCTCGAATTTCAGCCTTAATTCGTTCCAGAAGGCTGTTCGAGTGCCGTTACCGAACAAATTTGTTCCCGTAAGGAATAATGTAAACTAGATTAGTCCATTTCAGACCCCCAAAAATATACTTACACTCCGTCGTTATGTGAGGAGAGGCTGTACTGAGTCTTAATGTATCATGGTACACTCCTAACATGGCTTCCATGTTATATGCAGAAATGTTTACTAATGATGTGAAGACAAATTTCAGTCTAAATTCTTCTATATTTAATAATAAATATCAGAAAAATAAAACATGGGCACATTTATGAACATCATACTAAATTTTAAAATATCACTAGTGCAATTTTTTATAACACAATGAACCAATGTTCAAGACAACATCAGGTGTTGTGTTGTTTGTAACACAATGTTGAAGACAACACCAGTTGTAGTTCATAACACAGTGTTGAAGACAACACCACACATTGTTTGTAACACTATGTTGAAGACAACACCAGGTGCTGTTTGTAACAATGTTGAAGACAACACCAGGTGCAGTTCATAACACTATGTTGAAGACAACACCAGGTGCAGTTCATAACACTATGTTGAAGACAACACCAGGTGCAGTTCATAACACTATGTTGAAGACAACACCAGGTGTTGTTTGTAACAATGTTGAAGACAACACCAGGTGCTGTTTGTAACAATGTTGAAGACAACACCAGGTGCTGTTTGTAACAATGTTGAAGACAACACCAGGTGCAGTTCATAACACTATGTTGAAGACAACACCAGGTGCTGTTTGTAACAATGTTGAAGACAACACCAGGTGTTGTTCGCAACACAGTGATGAAGACAACACCACGCATTGTTTGTAACGCAATGTTGAAGACAACACCAGATGTTGTTTACAACACAATGTTGAAGACAACACCAGATGTTGTTTACAACACAATGTTGAAGACAACACCAGGTGCTGTTCATAACACAATGTTGAAAACAACACCATGTGTTGTTCGTAACACAAAAGTTGAAGACAACACCAGAGTTTGTTTGCAACACAATGAAGACAAAATCAGGTGTTGTTTGCAACACAATGTTGAAGACAATACCAGAGTTGTTTGTAACACAACATTGAAGACAACACCAGTTGTTGATTGTAACACAACATTGAAGACAACACCAGGTGTTGTTTGTAACACAATGTTGAAGATAACACCAGGTGTTGTTCATAACACACCCTCTCAACTTTGGTATACCATGCCATCAAACAATAACATCTCTGACTATTTTACATACATAACTAACTACCGTTTGTTTTAAGACTCATAATGAGTTGGTTGTTGCTAGCTGGTTGTTAAGAATTAGGTTAAGTCTCTCCAAAATGCCTCAGCATGATAGTGGCTTTCTTTGTACCAATCAAATTATGAAATGTAAACACACATTGTAACCTTTGCAAAGAAATAAATTTTTGATTTGAGCCTCATACAAGCTCCTGAACAACATGCATCACTTTAACATTAGTCAAAATTAAAATATTTACACCAGGTTAGGTATATTTACAAACAGAACTTGTAACTTTATGGTTTGCATTATGCAGTTATTCTTCGTATTGTTTCTATTGAACATTTTAACATACTTGTAAATGATAGTCCACCACCCCAGCCAATCAAACAACCTCTACGTGCAACTTAAATGATTAACTTAGAATGACAACACTGTTACATGCCAAATATCAATAATGTACAGATGTACAACAGACCACCCACACTGTAACTAATGTTTACAAAATGCAATTTTGAACAACATAAAGACTCTGAATTCCCCTGCTTAATGACATTTCCCTTTTCATATAACATCATTATAGGCAGTGATCATCAATAAATGGAATGCACGGCAGCAGTAGCATCAATGAAGCTCCTAATTTTTTCCAGTCTCCAGGGCCAATTTCAGCTCTTATGATGGCATAATTGCAAGTACTACTGCACTAACATACGTGAAACCCATAATAACCCCAAAAAACTGGCGATGATGTATACAACCTGACCAAATACACCACCAAAAAAAGGACTGCCTGGCACAGAGAGCTAGCTGACAACCCCGATATTTATGTGTCAAAAATTTTTTTCATAAAACCCAAAAAATCTACAACATTATCCAATTAAAACTAAGCAGGTCACAGCAAAGATACTAAACAGCCCATGGCTTACAAACAGTATCCTCAAATCCATTGATAAAAAAACACAATATGAAAAACAATTCAGACTGGGATTAACAACAAAATAAACAAAAATGATACACATCAATACTCACTAATCTAATACACAAGTCTAAAAAACTGTATTAGCAAGCAGACTTAACAAAATATAAGGGGTTATAGGTAGTAGGTTGGTAGACAGCAACCACCCAGGGAAGTACAGTACTACTGTCCTGCCAGATGACTATGAAACAGAAACCTGTAACTGTTTTACATCATGGTAGGATTGCTGGTGTCTTTTTCTGTCTCATAAACAGGCTAGGTAACAGGTATATCTTGCTACTTCTACTTACACTTAGGTCACACTACACAGGCACGCACATCAATATATATACATACATCTAGGTTTTTCTTCTTTTTTCTAAATAGCTCTTGTTCTTTATTTCTTCCACTGTCCATGGGGAAGTGGAAAAGAATCTTTCCTCCATAAGCCATGCGTGTCGTATGAGGCGGCTAAAATGCCGGGAGCAATGGGCTAGTAACCCCTTCTCCTGCAAACATTACTAAAAAAGAGAAGAAGAAAAACTTTATAAAACTGGGATGCTTGAATGTGCGTGGATGTAGTGCAGATGACAAGAAAGAGATGATTGCTAATGTTATGAATGAAAAGAAGTTGGATGTTCTGGCCCTAAGCAAAGCAAAGCTTAAGAGGGTAGGGAAGTTTTGGTGGGGAGAAATAAATGGGATTAAGTCAGGAGTATCTGAGAGAGTTATAGCTATGGAAGGAGTAGCAATAACGTTGAAGGATCAGTTATGGATGGAGAAGAGGGAATATAAATGTGTAAATTCAAGAATTATGTGGATTAAAATAAAGGTTGGATGTGAAAAGTGGGTCATAACAAGTGTGTATGCACCTGGAGAAGAGAGGAGTGTAGAGGAGAGCGAGAGATTTTGGGAGATGTTAAGTGAATATATAGGAACCTTTAAACCAAGCGAGAGAGTAATTGTGGTAGTGGACCTAAATGCTAAAGAATGAGAAATATTTAGAGAGGCTGTGGAAGGTAAGTTTGGGGTGCCAAGTGTAAATGATAATGGAAGCCCTTTGACTGAACTTTGTATAGAAAGGGGTTTAGCTAGAGGTAATACATAGTTTAAGAAAAAGAGGATAAATAAGAATACAAGCTATGATGTAGGGCGTAATGACAGTAGTTTGTTGGACTATGTATTGGTAGATAAAAGACTGTTGAGTAGACTTCAGAATGTACATGTTTATAGAGGGGCCACAGATAGATCACTTTTTAGTTGTAGCTACAGTGAGAGTAAAAGGTAGATGGGATACAAGGAAAACAGAAGCATCAAGGAAGACGGAGGTAAAGGTTTATAAATTAAAAGAGGAGGCAGTTAGGGTAAGATATAGACAACTGTTGGAGGATAGATGGGCTAGTGAGAGTATAGGCAATGGGGTCGAAGATGTATGGGGTGGGTTAAAAAAATGTAGTGTTAGTGTCTTCAGCAGAAGTTTGTGGTTACAGGAAAGTGGGTGCGGGAGGGAAGTGGAGCGATTGGTGTAATGATGATGTAAAGATAGTAGTAAGGGAGAAAAAGTTAGCATATGAGAGGCTTTTACAAAGTAGAAGTGATGCAAGGAGGGAAAAGTATATGGAGAAAAAAAAGAGGTTAAGAGAGTCATGAAGCAATGTAAAAAGAGAGCAAATGAGCGAGTGGGTGAGATGTTATTAACAAATTTTGTTGAATATAAGAAAAAGTTTTGGAGTGAGATTAACAAGTTGAGGAATCCTAGAGAACAAATGGATTTGTCAGTTAAAAATAGGAGAGGAGAGTTATTAAATGGAGAGTTAGAAGTATCAGGAAGATGGAGGGAATATTTAAAGTAATTGTTAAATGTTTATGAACATAGGGAAGCTGTGATTTCGTGTATAGGGCAAGGAGGAATAACATCTTGTAGCAGTGAGGAAGAGCCAGTTGTGAGTGTGGGGAAAGTTCATGAGGCAGTGGGTTGAATGAAAGGGGGTAAGGTAGCTGGGATTGATGGGATAAAGATAGAAATGTTAAAAGCAGGTGGGGATATAGTTTTGGAGTGGTTGGTGCTATTATTTAATAAATGTATGGAAGAGGGTAAGGTACCTAGGGATTGGCAGAAAGTGTGCACAGTTCCTTTGTATAAAGACAAAGGGGACAAAAGAGAGTGCAAAAATTATAGGGGGTTAAGTCTGTTGAGTATACCTGGTAAAGTGTATGGTAGAGTTATTACTGGAAGAATTAAGAGTAAGACGGAGAGTAGGATAGCAGATGAACAAGGAGGCTTTAGCAAAGGTAGGGAGTGTGTAGACCAAGTGTTTACAGTGAAACATATAGGTGAACAGTATTTAAATAAGGCTAAAGAGGTTTTTGTGGCATTTATGGATTTGGAAAAGCCATATGACAGGGTGGATAGGGACCCAATGTGACAGATGTTGCAGGTGTATGGTATTGAAGGTAGGTTACTGAAAGCAGTGAAGAGTTTTTACGAGGATAGTGAGGCTCAGGTTAGAGTATGTAGGAAAGAGGGAGATTATTTCCCAGTAAAAGTAGGCCTTAGACAAGAATGTGTGATGTCACCATGGTTGTTCAATATATTTATAGATGAGGCTGTAAGAAAAGTGAATGCGAGGGTCTTGGCAAGGGGTGTGGAGTTAAAAGATAAAGAATCAAACACAAAGTGGGAGTTGTCACAGTTGCTTTTTGCTGATGACACTGTGCTCTTGGGAGATTCTGAAGAGAGGTTGCAGAGGTTGGTGGATGAATTTGGTAGGGAATGTAAGAGAAGAAAATTAAAAGCGAATATAGGAAAGAGTAAGGTTATGAGGATAACAAAAAGATTAGGTGATGAAAGATTGAACATCAGATTGGATGGAAAGAGTATGGAGGAGGTGAATGTATTCAGATATTTGGGAGTGGAAATGTCAGCAGATGGGTCTATGAAAGATGAGGTGAATCATAGAACTGATGAGGGGAAAAGGGTGAGCAGTGCACTTAGGAGTCTGTGGAGACAAAGAAATTTGTCCTTGGAAGCAAAGAGGGGAATGTATGAGAGTATAGTTTTACCAACGCTCTTATATGGGTGTGAAGCACAGGTGATGAATGTTGCAGTGAGGAGAAGGCTGGAGGCAGTGGAGATGTCATGTCAGAGGGCAATATGAGGTGTGAATATAATACAGAGAATTCATAGCTTGGAAGTTAGGAGGAGGTGCGGAATTGCCAAAACTGTTGTCCAGAGGGCTGAGGAAGGGTTGTTGAGGTGGTTCAGACATGTAGAGAGAATGGAACAAAACAGAATGACTTCGAGAGTGAATAAATCTGTAGTGGAGTGATGGCGGGCTAGGGGTCAGCCTAGGAAAAGTTGGAGGGAGGGGGTAAAGGAGGTTTTGTGTGCAAGGGGCTTGGACTTCCAGCAAGCATGTGAGAGAGTATTTGTTTGGAGTGAGTGGAGAGAAATGGTTTTTAATACTTGACATACTGTTGGAGTGTGAGCAAAGTAACACTTATGAAGGGATTCAGGGAAACTGGCAGGCCGGATTTGAG